TGCATCAGATGACAGAAAAGAAGAAGTAGTCAGTGATATGAATATTAATAAGCAGAAAGGTTGACATTGTTGACGACAATGCATCAACTGGCTTCAAAGCATACCTTGAGGAGCAGCTGAAAGCCATTAGTCAAAGTGGCACAATGGTTTGATAGGTTGAAGGATAAAATGGTAGCAACATAATGATAAAAGAGAAACAATGCGACAGTGAGCAAAGTACAGTCAAACCTGGTTATATAACGAATTTGATGGGACCAGAGAAAATATTTCCTATGACCAGAAATTCCTTATAACCAAGGTCACTTTTATAGCAAATATTATAATTATTTATAATTAGGTTCATTATATCCAGATCGCCAGAAACCAATGTTTTTTATTAATGCTACCATATTGATCAATTTTAGTTAAATTCATATCCGACGCCTATAACAAACTTATAGAGGGATAATTGGAAAATCTATTTCTAATTATTAAGGTTAAAATCGAAGTACTGTTCCAATTGCGTCTGTACTTTTTTAGACATAATATGATTGACTGAATATTACTGTTAAGCTATTACTGTGTGCCATTATTATTATAGATTTTGGGTACACCAACGTTTATAACGAATATCTATCTGTTTGTAACGAATTTACGGTGGTGCAATTTTTTATTGTGAACTCCGGTCTGTTTATAATGAAGACATTCGTTATAGCCAATTAGTGGTACATTATGTTGTTCTGACAAATCTTCATTATAAGCATTATAACCAGGTTTCTTAATTCTTGCAATCCTTTTCTTCTATTTTCTACTTGGTCAAAACATGCTGATTCGCTTTCGTTTGTGGTGCTGTTGATGAGTAAAGTTGTTGGAGGGTTATTATGTAGTACATCCTCGGTTTAATATCGATATTCCCTGCCAGTCGTTGCTCTAGGTACAATAATAGTCGCTAGACTTTATTCCAAGTCAACGAAAAGGCTTGAACGAACAATATTATTAACGTAGTATGACCCATATAAAATCGGAGTGTCGATTTCTTCTATCAAATTCTTGATGCATCAAAATTGTTGTCAGCAAAGTTCAAAGTGTCTAATAACGTTCGAACTTATTAGCTTGTATAATTTGTTTAACACTTTCAAGTATTACCTGATTTAGTAGTACAGTTTATACCTGTGGCGTTAGCACCTTTTGGAGAAAAGCCTCATTAATCATATTTAATATCAGTGACATCATTCGCACGCTATTTGTTTTTTCTAATAAACAAGTACAGCCATACCTCGTTTATATCCTCACTTTGGGATGGGGAATTTTTTGGATCGCATAAACCGTTAATTTAAAACATGTGCTTTTACTGGTAATAAATTTGGTTAATGAAGTTTATTTTTTAATATCGGGAAGGTCAAGCAATGCACTCTTATATTTGACAACTATGCAAACTGCTAAAAGTGACATGTTTATGACCTGATTGCTTTCAGCAGTGCAGAATGTAAAAATGGAAATGGAACATGTAATACTCATATCATATATAGTAAAATAAGGGTATGACCTGTGTAATATTATTATCGTATATAGTAAATAGGGTATAACCGAGGTATGATATTAATATGGAATTTGGGACGGCAAAATATTGGGGATAGGGATATCTGAAGGGGACACAAATGAGGTATTAAATTTATACTGAAATACAATAGAGGAAGTCCGTCCCGCTTCACAGGTGGGATATATCTTAGGTTGGACGTTAAAGGGTAGGGATACAAAAGAGGTATGACTGTAATTCTTTATACTCTGAAATGCTTATGCTGTACATTATTAATGATTCGTTCCCTGGTAAATTATCGGTATAGTTGTGAAACTGCTATATCGATCAGCTTCTTTCCCGTATATTCTCGTGGCATTATGATACGTACGCCAACCTATAGGCTTCCCATCGAAAATCGAGAGCGAATAACCATTTAGGATTAGCGTCTACCGATCGACACAAGATCGTGAGTAGTAAAAGCCCAGTTTAAAGGTCACTAACTGTCGTCGTATTTAACTAAAATTAGGAGAAGCCACAGCGCCGTTTGAAAATCGCGATTGCTCTCCCACTCAATATTGGGAAAGAGGAAATATGTGAGGTGAAAACAATTATAATAAGTAATGTTAGCAATGATGTCAAAAATGATATCAATAACAAGAATAGTGAAATTTAAATTTGTACCAGAGTGACTAAAGAACAGATTATACTTACAAATGGCTTTGAACAGAGTGTTCCTCTCGTGCAATTCCTCTTGTGCTCATTGTTATTTATATTTCAAATCGATCGCATTTTATAATAAAGATAATAAAATTATGTTTACAAAAATTGAATTGTTGTTACATTATTTGACTCTTTGATCAACGTAGCAAATGCTCAACGGATGCGCTCAAGCAGTATTTTATCAACAAGTCGACGTTGGATAAGTCGCTTGATTGGTGGAGACCTTGGTGGGAAGCTTTTACGTTAAATTGCTTTCTTTTGTGTTCTTCTAGTTTTCGTTGTTTTTTTTTTCATCATAGGTCGGCATTTAATGATTATGATTTTTCGTTCTTCTTCGTAAGTAATTTTTCTTTATCTAGATATTCCTGGAGAGTTTGGATATCATTGATTTTAAAAACATATGGAGCAAATTTTATCCTTCTAATATTCTTTGCTCAATGTAATTAATTTCATATTTTATTTTTGTATAGGCATAATCTTATATTAAGCTTTGGATATAACTAAAGCTCAGCGTTTCAATAGATAATTCATGTACAGTTAATAAATTCTATGAGTGACGTTGACGTTTCGACATTTCTACCGATTCATCTAATATTAAACGCCGAATTATATTGCGCATGTATTTAATATCATTTTCTGTCACAAATTCTCTTTATTCCAAAATTTCTTAGCTGTCACAAGTGCTTCTCTTCCCATCTTTACGGAAATAACTGCTTCTTCTTCACTTGAATTCCATGACACCATTAATCAGAAGAATTTTATGATGAGTTCTTATTCTGTAGGTAAATTTGCACTGACCAAATTATTATCTATCTGATATCTGAACATACTCTTCTGCTGTTAAACTATGATACTAAATTGTTTCTGCAGGCAGTATTTTTGTGCTTAACCAACAATTTACTGCCCCTGGCATCTGTGATGATTTCAATTGCTTCTTTAACATTTATTTTTCCGATTTTATAGGACTTTTATTGACAACTACAGAAAACTGCTAAAGTTGTTTTTAGACAGTAGTAAGTAGTACATGAAGAAGCAAAGCTATCTACAAGACTAAATCAATAAAGGAACTTGGCCGAAATCAGATGGTAATATATATATGTTGGGAGGAGAGGGGGAACCAAAAGGACATGATGTATATGAACTCCAATTCCATTATCGTAACATCACATTGAGCCCCCGATCGGATAATTTTGATATAATAAGTGTTGTCGACATAACGTACATGAGACTTGTCAAAATGCACAAAATCCGAGTACATTCGCGTGTGCATAAGTTTTAGACGCACCACCAGGGGGATTCGAAATTCGAACGTTTGAACGAATAGAGCGTAAGTTGCGGGGGGAGAAGGTGGATCTGAACATGTTTACAATGATGCTTTTGGTGTTCCAATGTGTGCCAGTAAAAGAATATCGAAAGTCTCACGATAGTTATGTTTAGAAATATTATTAATTAGGTCACTGTTGTTAGTTTGATAATTGCCCTGCTCACACAGATAACGCCTTTCTTGGCCCCAAAATTTATATGCTCGAAATAACGAATTTATTAATGAAGATAAACGGAAGAAAGCAAAAGCGCCCGTACATGTGAGTCGTCGGTCGGCTAAATTTACAAGTGACTTGGGATAGTTGATTGTCAAACCATTTCAACCATTCATTCCACTTTTCAATTGTCCTCCAGGCTTTTTTATTACTAGAGTGAGTTTTTTCGTTCCCGTTACATTGCAGCAGAGTAGGACTGTAATTCGTTCTTGTCTTTTTAGCGCTATCATTTTTTGTTGCGAGTGTTTTATTTGGGCCTAATCGGAAAAAGAGTCCTGTTTCATCTGCATCGTAAACATTTTCTAGTATTAGGTCCAAACGTAACTATTAATTCTTGCAATCCTTTTCTTCCATTCTCTACTTGGTCAAGACATGCTGATTCGCTTTCACCAGTGATGTGATTGTGGTACTGTTGAGGAGTAAAGTGCTTATTATGTAGTACATCCTCGGTTTAATATCGATACTGCCAGTCGTTGCTCTAGGTACAATAATAGTCGCTAGACTTTATTCCAAGTCAACGGAAAGGACAATATTATTAACATAGTATGACCATCAAACGTTCGAACTGTTAGCTTGTATGATTTGTTTAACACTTTCAAGTATTACCTATTTAGTAGTACAGTTTATACTTGTGGCGTAAGCACCTTTTGGAGAAAAGCCTCATTAATCATATCAATATCAGTGACATCATTCGCATGCTATTTGTTTAATACCCGAACCCGAGCAGTTACATCTGATGAGTTTGATAACAGATATAAATAAAGAAATATGTATTCTAATATATTTATATGTACTACTGCTGCAGTGTTATGTCGGTAATTCTGTAATAGGGGTAAACAATAACGGATGCCCCAATAGGAATATCTTCTGCAGCATGTGGTGCTGCCAGCCGAAAATTGACTTTGACAGTCACAAGAATGTAATCAAACATTCGAAGATAAGGGGCGATGATAGACATCACTGACTATTTAAAGCCAAGGGTTTTCGTAGAGTGCATGGACCAATTCATTTGCATTTTGTCGATAATCATAAGGTATATAGCAAAGCCCGCTATATAAATACCACCGGTTGGCAGTGAGTGGAGTCATTGCTAGTGACAAGCTTCCTCACATTGTTTGTGACAAGGTGTCATAGCTGATAGGGAAAGATACAGGAAGATATATCACTAATAATTAACACCAGAGATTTAGCTGCAAAAAAGAACCCTCCCCCTTCAGCATCAAACAGTCCCTTGCACATAGACAATGCCAACCGAAAGAACTCACCTCCTTCCCAAGACACACTCATCATTTCTTTCACGCAATGTAACACGCACACTCCCTTTCGCATTATTAGTCCTGGTTATCTATTCTGTCGCTTTTTACCTTCTGTGTACATACGACCCATACTCTAAAAGACCACTTCCACCGCTGACTGGGCGTTTTCTACATATCACTGATATCCATCCCGATCCTTACTATGTTACAAATGGAACAGCCAAGTCTTCGTGTCATAATGCAGAGGAAGAAAGCATCGATGGCAGATTCGGAACGACCAGGAAACCCAAATACATGCGTATGGGTCGCGGTGGTGCATGGGGTGCCCCAGCAACACTGTGCGATAGTTCTATGAAGATGATAAATTATACGTTCGAATGGCTAAAGGAAAACTGGAGAGATAATGTGGACTTTGTCATATGGACTGGAGATAATGCTCGGTAAGTGCAATTAAATTAGCTTTAGGGGAAATCTTGTTGCCAAGATGACGTTAATAGTACAAAAGAAATAATGCAGTTAGCAGTAAAAACAGTAAATAGCAATGAATATAACGACAATTAAGGAATGCAAGCATACAATAAGGGATAATGACGTAATAATCGTCAGAATTTCCATTAGTGTACATGGTATCACATGTTCATACAAAACTCCTTTTTTGCTACATATTCCACAGCCACAACAAAAATGTTCCAAGAACCAAACAAGAAGTATATGATCTAAATCGGATGATAGCACAAAAATTCGTCGATGCATTTTCTGACCCAACAACCGGCCAACTTTCCGTTCCCGTAATTCCATCCATCGGAAACAACGACATGCATCCATCCAATACGATCGGGCCTGGACCCAACGAAATACTCGACACCTTGGCAGATATCTGGTCTCCCTTCATTCCTCCCACACAACAACACGTTTTCCGACGCGGTGGGTACTTTGTCAAAGAAGTGATACCCGATCGCTTAATTGTAATTTCCTTGAATACGTTAGACTTTTATAAATCAAACGAAGCTTCTGACGGATGCTCCAAGACGAACGAAGCAGGCAGTAGGCAGTTGAGATGGATGGAAGAGATTCTGAGGAGGGCAAGAACAAGGGATATGAAGGCTTATATCACCGGTCACGTCGCTCCCAGAAGGAAGCAGTATATGTCATCATGCTTTAAGAAATATGGGAGGATTGCGCTCAAATTCCATGACATGATACTGGGACATTATTTCGGTCATTCAAACCTAGACCATTTCTTCTTTATTTCTGCAAAGGCTGTGGTTGACAGTCCGCCAGATGATGCAACAGAACTCGATGTTGAGAATGTTACCGACAAGGACGATAAAGTCGACAGCAAGCATTATAACGAGAACAGCAATGGCGACACTCGCATTAATGACACAAGCAACCCGCTTAACGCCACTCGAAATGATAAGCCCGTTTACGCTTACGCATACGAAGAATATGCTCAGAAACTTCTCGACCATTATCGCTCGGTTCCCCCTTTGCAAAGGCTGGACCCCGAAGAATATACCGTCATCCACATCAATCCGTCGATTATTCCAACATTCTTTCCATCACTGCGCGTATTCGATTACAATAAAACAGAAAACTCGATGAATGTAACGGAAATCTCGCGTAACGCTGCAGACGAGATTTATGCTGGGTTGGATGAAGACGACATCTCGGACGGTGAGGATGACGATACGTATTCAACAGCAGGCAAACGTTCAAAGCACCGACACGATCCGAAATCGCCTTCTCATACAAATACCTTTCTCACTGCTCTTGGATATACGCAGTATTTTGTTAATCTTACTAAAGCGAATGAATCCCCCAATACTAAGCCTTCCTGGGAAATAGAATATACCACGCGGGAGACATACGAGATGAGTGATTTGACGATCGATAGTTGGATCAAGCTTGCTAGGAAAATAGCAAGAGACGGGATGTCGGGATTCCTATGGAAGAAGGTGCATGATCATATGTTGGTGGGAACAGCAGAAATTATAAAAGAAAGAGAAAGAATGGGACTTCAAAGATTGAATGGAGGAAAGGGGGATAAGGGGCCAATGGACTATATCATGAGTGAACTAGAGTTTTGAGCATATGTTGAATCCACTTGGATGAATTCGATAGTCGATCTGGTTACATACATGTTTGGTTATTTTTATTGAACATTTGGTAGTTTTTCAGTTCAAGGTTATTTGCTGTTCTTTAAAACGATTCATCAGTTGAAACTTTTTGTATTTTATGGAACCTCTCCTATATCACTTTGTATTATTCGAACCCTTCTACAAATTTTGCTCAAAAATTCGCATATTGTTTGTAAATTATAAATAATTATAAATACGTGGGCTTGTATATACGCTCAATGCAAATGAAAAGTTTTTGGTCTGCTCTGTTATCAAATGGGTCTTTTTTCTGTATCGTGAATTATTGCGAATCTGTCGATTGTGTTCAACTGTTCGTCGTCGTTGCACCTTATCGGAATGCATTATATGATGGATCAAAAAGGTAGTTATTCGACGCGTCTTTACGTCAGATGCACTTGACAAAAGGCTGTTCAAACCAAATTTATCTTCCTACCTAAACCCAAGGCATTTACAGTATTGCACACATTAATCAAGATTTGCAACGAGTCTGATCATATCCAAAGATTATTTTTAGTACTACTCAGATATACAAGGAGCCGAGCATAATATTAGTAATACTAATAGAAAATTTTGTTTATACAATAATGCCAATTTATTTAACAATGGCTGATGTGTGGCCGAAATATTACTAATATAACTGATGACATTTCGGAAGCTATTACTATAACCCGAGTTGTAATGACGAAAAGTTGAGCAAATGAGTGGGCCTATTCGTGACGCGCCGCTGCTAAATGGGTACCACAAGAATTTAGCACGGGTGGGGCGTTGTCAATGGAAATGCCATATCTGATATAGCAGCAATTGATTAATCGTTAATTTTAAAGGATATATAAATTACCACTATCATATTTAACAGGAAGTTCAAGGATCATTACAAACAGATTTGTGCTTACGTCCTTATTATTATATGTAAAAGTCTCAAGGTACCCGCTCTCCCTTGGTTATTGACTCACTATAAACACAATCCCTCAAGACCTGGATAGTAAAGATTATATTTATTCAGATTAAAGTTGTTTCTTCTTAAACTGTTAAAAAAAACAACTCCTCATTCTGGTATGTCTGCTTGGCAATTACATCATCAATAGGCTAGTTACCAAATGCTTTGCAATCTTACCATGTTGATCATAGTCTATATGGCAGATCATCTTTCGTTTATTCAAACACGTAAATCGCGATTAATGCTTTTTGTCTAACCAATATTTATTTTTCCGTTAATCGAATGTATGAGTATTACGTGCATATGAGAGAATTTTTACTATTTACATCGTCGATATGTCGGGTACGTGAATGTACAAAACAAAGCGCGAAAGCTAAAGAGCTAAATATACATAGCTAAGCGTGACCTGATTCTTGCAATTACATTGGTCAAATTTGTATATCAACCAATGAAATTGTAAAAAAACTACTCCGCTTTAGCAATCTTACCATGTTAATCATAGTCTATATGGCAGATCATCTTTCGTTTATTCAAACACGTAAATTGCTTTCGCGATTAATTAATATTTATTTTTACGTTAATCGAATGTATGAGTATTACGTGCATATGAGAGAATTTTTACTATTTACATCGTCGATATGTCGAGTACGTGAATGTACAAAACAAAGCGCGAAAGCTAAAGAGCCAAATATAATCCAAGACGTTGTTGAATCACGATAATTTCGAATTGTGTTTAGAAAAGTTTGCTCATCAAGATGAAAAAAGTTCTCATTACAAGACCACTAAACAGACTGAACGTGTGGCACTGGTTCTGTTGCTGCATACCCATATCAGATAACCTTTGACCAGAGTTTCAAACCTAGTATAAAAATTTATTATAGACAATAAACAGTAATAGTAATTCAATTTTTTACAACCGGATACCTAAATATCATCGAACTAGGCCGATCTACAGTCTTGCTATCCGCAATATTATGACATCTGCTAAATTCCAAGGTAATGTTGCCCAATTTACTCTTCCACTCTTCTAAAGGGTAGTCATCGAAATTACATCTAACAAATTTAATGAATTCCAAAGTGTTTCTCTTTTCTAATAATGCATCCATAATCACATGGCTAACTTTGCCGAATATTTTCAACTTTATCACCTCTATTCGTTTCTGATTCAAAATAATGTCCGCAATTTGACCATGGTTTTGTAGGTATTTGGCTTTTGGATTGATATCAGTCAATCCAGGCACACTAATTGTTAGAGAGACAAGTCCTCTATTGTGACCAAGGTTTCCAATAGGCCATCTTTCCGACTGTTGTAATAATAAATCGGTTCTGAACATACAGACTAAGTCGAGTTTCTTCAACCTCTTTGCCTCATTTATGAACATGGACAGCAAAGCTGCATATATTCCCGCATATTCTTTTAGTTCCACAGGAACAACAGCAGAGTCAAAACTATTGATAACACTATTGAACAATGCCTCATCAGATAAATATTCTAGATAGGAATAATAATTGAAGAGCGGTTTGAATTCATTAGGAAATTTTTCCTTCAAATCGGGAAACGCTTCTCGCATTGACGCAGGAAGAGAGGCCAAGTATGTGTCGATTGGCATATATGCCAAGTCTTCTCTTTGGCTACTTGTTGTTGAAGGTACGGACCGTCTTTGATAAAGTGCGAGTGGGCTTCGATAGAGAATCGGAACGGTTGCCTTACACCATGCTCTGTTTACAAATAGGCAATTGAAAAGACTAACGTAACTGTCGTCCAGATGCCTGATTATATCTGATAATAGTTCGGTTGGGAGTACTGGATTCGGCATAATAATGGCGGTTACAAAGTGTTAAAAATTGAGTCGAGGGGAGAGAGAGAGAATCCCTTTTAATACTTAATATATCAACTTTCCTGCGCTGTGCCCCCATTACAAACTTGGCACACATTAGCTTTATTGTCATTTGTAATTTGTAATGTTTCACTTGTTCCTGCGCAGTTATCTAAACAGAGGAAGGATTGACGCTTCCTTTGTCATCTAACACGATATGCGTTGTGAATTACCATGAATACAGTTACAATTAGCCAATACCAATTCAGCAGATCAAAGCTCTATCGCTATTTTTAAACCGAACTTTGACAATGGTTCAAACACAACAATAGTAATGGTACAATCATAATTGTCACACGGAATCATCATATAACCACCACGTCCACGTGCATCATCCGAAAAAACCGTATCTATTACTATGCGATAAATATTTTGGTTCTTTTTTTTCGATGCGATCAAAAGCGGATTGGATTGAGCTTACAAGACAGACAATAGGCGGATTGGATGAAAGTGTTATAGCCATTATTAATGTTATCCATACGTTTATAACAACCATTGATCACGAGACGATCTATTCGAATATACCGAGAACGAAAGGAATTGTGTTATCGGGTAAACCAGGAACGGGCAAGACAGCTCTTGCTTTGCGAATAGCTGAGACTTCAGAATTACCATATTATGTTGTCAACTGTCCTGATTTATTCAGAGTTGGTTAGTATTCCGGATAGAATGTTAAGTTATATATGGCTGTAGATGGTGTGACTAACTGTGTTTATAGAAGAAGGGGCTGCTGAGAAGCATCTAATATCAAAGTTCGCAAATGCTCTACAAAATCGCGTATCCATCCTCATTATGGACGAAATTGATATCATAGCTGATCGATCAGTATGTCGACGACCAGGTAGGATAATTGTGTTAACGCCACTCTTATATGGCCAACGTAATTTAATATATATTGTCTTTCTACAGACATGGAGGCTAAGCTATATTCCATTCTCATTAAAATGATCGATTCATTGAATGATACTACGAGTGACGGTCGATTATCAAATCAAGTATTTATAATAGGTAATGGCATATTCAGTGACTAATGGATAAATTATCAAATATTGTTAATTAACTTGAATCATTCTTAGGACTGACCAACAGGATTAATGTGATCAGTGAAAGTCTTTTGCGTTCTGGGAGACTGGATCGTGTCTTTAATCTCGTGATTAGAACGCCAGAACAGAGACTAAGGATCCTCGAAATAATGACCAAGAGTATGTGATCCGCGTCTTTTTGACTATAAAACCGTTGATTTTTTAAATAATATGGTTACTCGACACTAGAGATTCCAATGGAGCATCGTGAATCAACTTTATCACATGTCAGTCGAATAACTCATGGATTCGTTGCTACTGACTTGGGATATCTTTGTTCACAAGTTGTTATGCAACTAGTCAACGATGCAGCGGGCTCGTCTAATCCAGGAGAGGTAAGCAGTCTCTGCAATAAATCTATGAATTCTTAGGAAACCAGATTAACCTATCTCAATAATAACATTAAGGTATTTGCAACAGAAGACCATTTTTATGGTTTGCTTCAATCAATAAAGCCATCAGGTATAAATGAATTTCAAACAAAGGTATGACAACATCTGTGAATCGTAATTATGTATTCAAGTTTGTTTACCTACCTTTTTTTTAGATTCCATTAATTCGCTTCTCGGATATTTATGGTCTTGATGACGTCATCGAAGAATTGAAGGTATTTGTACTAGATATTGAAATCAAACTATCTTATGGATATTCAATTAATATATTATAAACATCAGACGTCGATAATCGAACCCTTTAATAACCCGAATGAATTTATTAGACTTGGCATATTACCACCGCGCGGAATATTAATTTATGGCCCCCCAGGGGTGGGCAAGACTATGTTATGTTGTGCAATAGCTATTGAAGCGGGAATCAATTATATGCTAGTCGAGGTCGGTATGAAAAGTTTCACAAAAGTTTTGACAGTGCAAATATCTCAACGATCTCTAAACACCACGTGACGGGTATAAAAAGATTGGCACCCAATTGATGATGAAAGCGTCTGAGATTTGCTTGGTCTTCACAGAGCAAAACCATTATTTGGATCGAGATTTCTGAGCCAAGACAAGAAGCAAGCTTTGCTCTGTTACCGATGGGTAATTTTGATGACTTTTATGATGATCAGATCAAAGGAACCATTCTTTACACCCAAACAAACTCTATTCACTTTTTAAAAACGGAGTTACAAAACCAGAGGGTTAGCGTTAGGAGATAATGACACTATGTCAAAACTTATTCCCCGTAATATATGTATTATAATATTTAAAAGACGAGAAATTTTCTAGGCTTCTCGGTTGCGTTCTAAGATTGTCGGTGAATCAGAGAAAAATATATGTAATACGTTTGCACAAGCGAAGTCTTTATCACCGTGTATCTTATTTATTGATCAGGTATAATTTTAAGATTACTGTTATTTTGGATATATATTCATGACACTAACTATCAGTAATTCCAACCATTGTTAGATTGACGTCATTGCACCATCCCGTGGACCGAGACTAACATCAGAGAACACAAGTGACCGAACAGTAACTTGTCTACTGACTGGTGAGACTTGAATATATTTAAGCACAATTTTATCTGCTTGGATCGTGTCGCTTAATCACGTGTTTGTAGAAATGGATGGCATTTTTTCAACTAGTCAACCAAGCAATACAACCATTGATGTGCTTGTGATTGCTGGTAAGAAACGGAAAATTCAAAATTCTGAAAAAGGTTCTAAACTAACTGAATTTAGTAAACTCGAATTAATCACTTACGCAGTTGCTTTATATATAGTTACTAATCGACCACATATCTTGGATCATGCAATATTAAGGCCTGGTCGCTTAGATCAACACGTATACATTGCTCCTCCAGACATAGAGGTATTATTCGCGATAATTGTTGTGCGCGCAGGCCATCAACTATATTAAGCGTTTCATCATCGTTCAACTAGCAACGTCGAGCAATATTCGCAGGAAAGTTCAAGACGACTCCTGCTTCAATCTCAGACGAACAGATGACTAGTTTAATAGAGTCTACTCAAGGATATTCAGGTTTAAATATGGCTCGTGACACAGTTATCCCAAATGCCAACATTCCGTTAACATTTTTGCTTCACGCAGGTGCTGATATAGACAATATCTGTCGCGAGGCTGCTTTGATAAGTCTAAAAGAGAATATCGATGCAGAATATGTACGTATTATTTTGACGTTCTCGTTTAGTTTTGCGAATGGCCATCGCGCAAGTATATAATTTTCATGTTGACAACTGTATTGTAGATTACGTACGCACACTTGGAGATGGCGCGTAATTCGTGTAAACCCTCTTTGTTAGGCTATCGAGAAGTACATCCATATAACTGAGTCCGCATTTCACAGACGTCGGAATAAGGAAAAGATAAAATCATGGGTTTATTTAGCATACATATACGTTACACATACCGATATTAAAATTTACAAGAGCAAATCAGGTTGTTCCTTAACAATCGTTTGGTACAAAGGTTGGAAATTAAACCAACAAGATTCTTTCGATCCTGCGAGCTCGTGAACACTTTTTGCGCATTCATGATCAATCTGAATGGGCTTCTCATTTCCGTGGCATGCAGCTTCAGCCAACAATTGTACTTGGCAACATTTTTCCATGTTAATAGTAAGAAACGCAGCTTCATCGACGGTGCGTCCGACGGTGACCAGACCGTGATTACAAAGAATGGCGGCTTTCTTCTTTCCCAGAGCTTTGGCAATACGTCTGCCTTCTTCATCGCCAGTTATAATACCTTCGTAATTACTATAGAGAGCATGATCCTCGTAGAATATGCAAGAATCTTGGGTAATTGGATCCAACAGTCGAACAAGTGATGAAAATGCTTTGGCATATGTGCTATGACTTGAGGATAGCAACGCGATATAGTTAATATCGAAATGTATGCAATGTCGAAAATTCTCTTAAGCTCTTTCCACTAGGACTTTTGCTGTTGAATATATGAGTACATTATAGTTGGTATTATTAATACATTACCAGTGAGTGGCGCAAACTATATCGGGTCTCGCTTCGTATAGCATCGAATGGAGGTTTACGCCAGCCTGGTTAACGTAAGCGTCTCCATTGGAATATAGTATCTCGCCTTTCTTATTTACAAGTGTTAGGTCTGATACCTTAATTTGGGAGAAGTGGACTCCGTATGGGTTCATCCTATGTTCAAATAACGGGATTTGAATTTAATGAAAGCATGCTTCAGTCTGTCTGTATTTTTTGTTTAGCTAGTCGTTCTTGTTACCAGAAAGTCTCCGGGTTTTCCGGATCCCGACAAGTTATGTGGCCAGTTGTACCTACAATGAGTGTTAGGAAAATATTACCACTAAGAAAAAAAAGCAAAAACTGTATTGCCGTTTATTATTTACGCCACTTACTATTCTTCCGTTTTACCCTCACGATTAAACCATAAAATACCTTCATCATAGCCATACTTTGCAAACAATCTGGACATAGCTGCCAGTCTCTGTTTCCTATGCAAGCGTTCCTCTTCGACGGTCGCGAACATGGGTGTTTTAACTCGACACATACCCACAGTTACATAACCATCAGGAAACGGACCCCATAGTTTATTACTCTTTTCTTGCACCTGCTTGTCAATCGCACTGTTCCCGCTTGTGCTTGGTGGCATTATCAAGTGGTAAGAAACAAGAAAGCCGAAGAAGGGTCCATTTTACGCCGGGCTAGTATAATAAGTATTATGTAATAGACTGTTTGGGGCGTTGCGCTCAAACAGTTGCACAGTGCTCGCGGCTAGAATAAGGATACGGGAAAAGACGGCGCCCTACGGAAAAGTTGAATAGAAATCTGTACTCACGGTCGATCTCTGCGTAACAAACAAACAAACAGTCTGCAGGTATGTAGATTTGTCATACGTAATTGTCAATCATTTTAACTTTAAATCTCGTATATCAAAAGTAGTTTATTAACGCGAGGAAAATTGATAGCTTAAATCGAACTCTCCCAAGTATGCAAATTACTTTTATGACTTAATAATACTGTATGTATATAAAATGATGTTCTATTCAGAATACGTACGTAGTATCTAATAGTGTTATACGATCGTCTATGCAAACGCCAGTAATAATTAGACAATCTCTGCAAATACTAAAGCTTAAAATACAGTCTAACCTCGATATAGTAAAGTCTCGAAACACTATTATTAAAATTTCCCTCGATATAATGAAGTTACATAGTAAGTCTCGTTATGAGATAGTCAAGTTTTTTTCTCAAACAACACTCGTAGATTATAGTGAAGATTGTACCACCTGATGGATTTTGACCAATAATAATACAAACACGTGGCGTGTTGATTAAAAGTATGTGTTACGTCTTTCTTGTTTCTTCGTTTTTTGAATGGCTTTAATAGTTATTACATAATTGAACGGTATGACATTTGCTACGTTAAACAACTTAGTACCAGCACATTTCATATAAATCGATCAGCAGTATTAGATTCGTCAGTAGAAATAACGTTTGAGTTCATTTATTATTATACTATAAGATTTGCCAGTCGCAACATAGTGACACTTATATATGAACTTTACTATATTGAAAATTTTCTATACAGTAAAGAACAATCCCCGTCCCGTCGACTTAGGTATTTCAATTAAATAATGTGACTAGTTCGAGTTTCTTCACTCGTTTTAAATGCCATTAACCATGGTACAACTAAATAACTCCTGCATGAGCAATAGAATGGATTCAATATATCAAACACATAGACTTTGCTCGAGAATTCAAGCAGACATTGGTAATATCAAATAGCTTTTGCGGCATACAATTATAAGTTTACAATTTGTGAAGCATATCACCTATGCGTTATATCATTTCGAAAAACAACATCTTTATGTAATTCTCAAGTTGTATGATTATCATTGGATTAACTCGCGCGCCAATCAGGCACGAGACCTATTAATAAAACACTCCATTCAAAAAGTAACTATTGCGGTACTTTGAGTTATAACGAATGTTTTGCACTCAATCGCTCATACACCTTCACTATACTTTATAATTGACTGAAATTGTCGACTAGAATATCTATTTCTCTCCCTTACAAAGATAGGCCTGGTGACTATTGGGCCGTCCGTCCCCTAAAAGCTCTGTTGCAGAACGTGATGTTGCTATCATTCTATTACTACTATTATTGTCAATACAGTTTAGGATTATTATTTCGCTTTTCCCTCTCGAGTCTCAGTTTAGAGCCAGGTTCGGCTAGATTCTTTAGATTAGGATGTTATAGAAGAGCCTTCATTTTCTTCATTGAATAGCGATGACAGTCTTGAACTAGTATAAATCACATGGTTAAAACTTCAGCACGTTAAAATTTATTCGGACAAAACCATATATGTACAAGATGCACTCATAATTTCACTTTGGGTGTATTATATCGTGATAAATTGAGTTAGTTCGCAGTAGCCACAACCATGGAAATCTTCAATAGTGGTTAACTCGAACCGTTTGGCTAGCCACAAGGAGGTTGATATTAGCTTTTTTGTACGGTATTTCATCACACGATCATGATCAAATATCTTCTATATAATGTAGGCGCTATTAACATGTTTGGGCAACAAATCACAAATGGTCAGTTATTTACAAAGAATCGACAAGGAAAAACGAAAATGTTGGAAAGAACGTTATGCGTGCTCGGATCATCCGGAAGACGTATTGAGGAACGACCTAATCAATCGGATTCATACAATGTATCCGGAATTTAAATACCTCAGAGATTTCGAATGGAAAGTCGATAACGGCTTTTCTAACAGACAGAAAGGAGAACTAATTTTCGGATCCGACTATGGAATCTATTTGATAATCGAAACCAAATACCTGAATCTGGGAACTGACGAAACTGCTCAAGTTTTTACACAGAATGACCAGCTTATTAGTGTCAGAGAACAGGCTAGAAAGTATAAAGAAATAGCTGCTAAAAGATTTTGCGCAGAAGCTGTCAAAATAATTGGTGCCACATTTACAAACGAGGATAATCGGATTCATTTTCTTGACGGCGATGAGGAAATTGCTAAAGAGCCCCTGAAAGCTTCATTTGATTGCAAAGGTAAGAATAGAGAAATCTGTGATTACAGGTTGTTATTTCATATTAATATCTCTCTACATTTCCTCCCTTTCCCTTAGAGTCCCGCAGCCCATTTTTTGATTTTATGGACCGACTATTTTCATGTTTTATTGTTTATTCGTCTTTATATATTTTTAAATGGTTCGCCCTTTCTTACCTATTTTCCGTATTTGGTCTTTATGCTTATGGTGCGAAACGAAGATATTATAGTACCTATTTTGTAATTACGGCCGTGTCTTTTATTCTAACTGCAGTCGTCCTTTTAACGTTTGTATTGGGACATTCCATGATGATAGCAGTTGTCAAAGAACTGTTCAAACACCCCGACATGCAATTTATATATTTATTCATATATTTATTGTTTACCGAGTTGGGTGTATTTTATTGGTAATATTGATCGCGGTAACTTTTACCGAACATAATTGGAACTGTTTATTTCACCTAATCTTACATTACGGTTGATGGGAATAGTAATAGTAAATTACTTAAGTATCAATTTGCTTGAAGTAATGTTTACAAGCTAAAGAGTCTATTTTCTCAGAGGAGCATGAGGAAAAACGCTTTCTTGAGTATGAAAAGTCGGACCGATCTATGATTTACACTACAAATTTGAAGACGCGATGATATTCAGCTCTCTCAAGCGATAAAAACGCCGCATCAGGCCTTGTGCAGTCAGGACATAAGGAAATTCAAAACAATGTCTTTCGTTCAATCTCTTCCGGAGACTATATCTATGGGAAAGAATTGTCCTCGATTGGAAACGTCACAAAAGTGATATTTGAGAGAGGAAGTCGGTTATCGTTTCAAAGCTACAGTGTATTCGTGTCAATCTGGACCTCGATGAAGTAATCATCGACGTGTGATTGATAATCATAAATACCTCAACCATGGAATTCTGTGCTGCGCTCGGTGTTTATTGTCTTGTCGGATCTGATATTAAAGGCTGAAATAGCGGAATCTCCCTTTAGTATTGTATATAGATCCATACATAGGACGGAAGATTTTATTTTTGGTTGCATTTCAATCACATGTGGGTTTTTTTTTTCACTTGTCCTTCGAGAACACTTCGGGATACGATGTCATCCGTCACTGGGAAGTTTACCGCATTGAGTAGATAAGAAGTGTTACAAGACTCAATCTCAGGCTAGAATATAATCAAATTGCACTTGCAAATGACGTACGTCAAAACCGGCAACCTGAACTACAGCCAGAGTCAATCCAAGACGAGGGAGGAGTCATCCGGCATATTTCAAACCCCCCTATCGTTTCAAAGAGAGTTTAATGATAGTTGCCTCCAACAGGTTAAGGTAGTATGTCCATACGATAATCATCTTCCGATTAGACTATCTATATTGAAGATATCCGATAAAATACAATGTCATATCAGAAATCTTAGTGTCTACGACTTACCTTCACCTCGGAAATACAAGCACTCGATTCCCTTTGAATACTGAACATTAATAATAATAAGCTCTGCCACGCATAAACAATAGCATCATTTGCTTAGCATGTATCCCAGCATTTCGCCACCAACTTTATACAGTGCCAGTACCATCATCCTCCAAGACTGTAGATTCCTGGTTTATTTACATACTGTCTTAATGTCTCACGAGAACCAGGAGGAGGCTGCACTCCGAATAATGACTCTTCATTGTCCATCAACGGTTGATCGCATCAAATCATCAAAACGCCAATTATAGTTCCTTGAGATACTCAACATACAGTTACGAGACTCGTCTATAATTCAGGATTTCTTCAAAGACCTTATAGAATTCTTGGAGGAAAAGCCAGCGAGAAGGTAGAATTGGGTTGCAAGGTTCTTTAAATATTGAAACAGCGTTGAAATGTGTGTTCATTGGGGACATATTGTTCAATAAATATGAGTGCTGAAGGTCGATTTGGTAAGGATGTACTATAAATGAGCGATCGTTACCTTTCAATATTTAGAAAATGTATTCTAGTTATCTAGAAACCTTTTCGAGTCTTACCAACTTGCGCGTTCTCTTCTTTTGTGACGTCGAACAAAGTCTTCCTTATCCCAGGTTCATTCGTAAAATTAATCTATAAAACACAGGCAGTTACTGCAGGATCGGGCTGCTCGAATACGTGTATTAGTATAGTTAACAGACATTATAAACTTGCTCTTATTGACATGATTTACGTTTCTAATAGAGTTTACGAAGCAGAAGCAGTTCGACCTACCCTGTAAATTCTCCAAATCCGTTGATTATCATTGGTCAGAATTGATAATCGCGTAATACAGGCGCGTATAAAGTACTGTATGTAGCCTAAAATAATGATATTTATAACGTAAAAGCACAACTTATCATTATCAAAGGAAAAGAAGTGGGCAGAAAAAAATCACCATTAAGAAAGCAAATCAAATGCCTATTATATTCTTTTCATAATTCTTGCATGCTACCTCATTCAACTTCTAAAATATCAAGATAAGAATGTTCTACCATATGAAAAATTAACCTAATTCTCTTCTTCCAATTCATCAAAGTAATGAAGATAAAAAAATTCTTTCTCGTTCTGTTTATCAATAATTATTTTCACTAAGCAAATGCTGGAGAAAGATATGACTCTATATTATCTGGATAAATGAGAATCAGGCATTTGTTCTATATTAATCTTACCTGGGCAGGTCCAGTTTGTAAATAAGACAAGAATCATGTCATACTCGGTTTTATAATTTTCGACTGATGCCATTGTTGTATCATACGATCGTTTAATCGCTGGTGTGGAAATAGTAGTAGTTGCATCACGTTCTGAATATTTAATTTGTGAAAATATTGCCAATTTCTTCCCAGAATCAAGAATCCAGCAGTGATCAATATTAGCACACCCTCGGCAACAGCGGAAAATTCCTTCTTCCAGTGAGCGGGTCACATTGTCATCACATACTACTGAATCATCCAAACTAAAACTTGCAATGTCACTTGTTTCTTCAAGAAGCCTCTTACACACTTTGAGTTTGCGCAACTGTACTCTACGTTGGAGAAGTGTGTCAGATCTTTTGCACCACGGAATATATCAGATAGTTATCAGTTTGATTGGCAAGATTATTGGTTTTTGTTTCCATTCTGATGTGGATTTTGATTAATTTTATACTTAATGGACAAAATCAGTGAATTCTTAACTTCAATTAAACTACCAATAATGGTTTTTTGGTAATACCCATATAGATCTTTGAAATTTTGCCACCACCAAGGTTGGGATTAAGAGAAGGTGATCTGGAAACACAGTTTTTACATCTTTTACATTGGATGCCAGGAGCTTCCTGTTGAGAACCTTCAATAGCATAAAAGGCATAATAATAGTATACCATTCGCCAATAATGTTGGAAAGATAGATTGCTCAAGTTCACCAATGGATATGCCACTTTTCAGTCAAAAATCTTGCTTGACAGGTTGTCCAGCAAGGCCAAATGAGATCACAGGATATACATCACAGAATTCCTTCCAATTACCTATATACACAGTGAAAGTCGATATAACGGACTGTTCGGGACCAGCGTTTTAATCCGTAATATCGACTTGTGAGTTTTATATCAGATATTATTTAGTAAACAAATTCCGTTCCAGAGAAAAAGTCCGTTTTATTGACGGTCCGTTATATCGATGGTCTGTTATATCGACTTTCACTGTGTACCGTGCGGATATTTTAATTATATTAATACAAGTGAAACTAGATATAAGAAGCTCTCGATATAAGAAACACTAATTAAAATTTGATATAAGAAAGTTGATCTAAAAAATAGTCTATATGAAACTATCTCTATATAAGAAAGTTACTAATAAACTCTCGGTATAAGAAAAATTCTAAGATTTTTTACTATGGGTCCCGATCACTTTCTTATATTAATATCGCGAGCCACTTGTAGTTGATTTTCCCAGTCAAAATCTGACATGAGGGTGGGGCCCTAATAAATTTTGGAATGAAGCCAGCATCAAAACATAGCAATGTGGAAGTGCTGTTGATTCAAGACAAAGTTATATTGAAAGATTTCTGATATCTTGATTGTGAAGATCCGATGCATAATAATAATGTGATTTGAGACCTCGAATCACTGAATTTCTTCCTTCATCAGTTGTTTGCCCTGAATATTCATAAATATCAATTTTGCTGAGTCATAATTCAATCCAATAATTCTTGAGGATGCTCTGTAGATAAAAAATAAATATCTATGGCAGATGTTCCTGTGCAGATTGGGAGTATAAAACATTTACCACAGAATTTACTTGCCATATTGTTACCATGCATGACACTACCAATTGCTCCTAGCATTAATTTAAAGAAAATTCCCAAGGTATTTTTGTAGTGTTGAGCATCATTAATGTAACTGATACTCATCTAGATGGATTTTAATGGCCTCAACCTTCTTAGAGTGATGTTTAAGAATCTCACAAATCACGTCAGAAAGTTGGAATAACAAATCACGTAGATAAAAACATTTATGAATCAAACCCGATGCCACTGCTACACGTGATCCTATTCTGATACTTTGGAGTTTCCTTATCGTCAAAATCCTTTAATGTACTTGCTTACATTATTCTTTAGAACTTTAATAAACTCGGCAGTATCGCCACTTCTTGTTGATATGAAGAACAGATGCTTTGATTCCCAGCCCATTCGTGTTTTTCCTATTCCTGTTCCTCCGGGAATTAGGATAAATCTATGATCTAAACGAGTAACTTGTAACATCGCTTAATCACGACATGTCTTCTTTTCTCTATTCGAAGAAAAAGATAAAATATGGTGTATTGCAATTTCTTGTTCGAGAGGTAAAAACTTTCACCCCAATTGCCTATCTTATTATCCTCCAAAAAGAAAACGCGCTGTTTGCTTGCTTACTTTTCTTTGACTCAAGGCGTTTTAGATTAGGATGGTATTGTACATACTTCTCAAATTCTTCAATTTCGTTTGAGTCCATATTAACGTTATAAGATGAAAATGCGCGTGTCTTGCTTACGGCTATAGGAAAAAAATTATACATTGAGAACTGGTTGGTTGTACATTGCTAGTCAAATATAGGTTTGTCACACAACAAAAGTTTTTGTTTATTCTAATCCGCGGTT